GGGTTGGAAGGGACCTCAAGGATCATGTAGTTCCAACCCCCCTGCCTAGCAGGGCCACCAAACACACACATTCAGATCAGGTTGCCCAGGACCCCGTCCAACCTGGCCTTAAACACATCCAAGGACGGGGCATCCACAACCTCCCTGGGCAGCCCGTTCCAGGGCCCAACCACTCTCCTTGGAAAGAACTTCCCCCTAACATCCAACCTAAATCTCCCCTCCTTCAACTTGGATCCATTTCCCCTCATCCTGCTGTTGTCAGCCCTTCTGAAGAGTTTACTCCCCTCCTGGCTGTAGGTTCCCTTCAGGTATTGATAGGCTGCACTGAGGTCACCCCGCAGCTTCTCTTCTCCAGGCTGAACAAGCCCAACTCCCTCAGCCTGTCCTCATAGGGGAGGTGCTCCAGCCCCCTGATCATCTTAGTCGCCCTCCTCTGGACCCTTTCCAAAATCTCAATGTCTTTCTTGTACTGAGGGCTCCACACCTGGACACAGTACTCCAGATGGGGCCTCACAAGAGCCGAGTAGAGAGGGACGATCACCTCCCTGTCCCTGCTGACCACCCCTCTCCTGATGGAGCCCAGGATCCCAGCAGTTGGGTTCTGCTCCCGGTGCTCTCCCTACGCATTGATCTAAGCTCACAAACCCGGTTCTGGGGCCGCACGGGCTGTTCCCCTCCCCTCCAGGATCCAGCAACAGGATATTTACCAACGCGGCGGGGCTGTGCGCTGCCCCGGCTGCTGGATCGCTGCTGCGTCACCGCTGGGGCTGCGGCAAAGGATGCAGAGAACAAAAGTCCTGCTGCTCTGAGCACAGCTGAGGTGATCACCGAGCCCTGCTATGACGGACATTTCCCCAAACGCATCCCACAGCTCCAGCAGAGCTCCCAGACGCAGAGGAGACCCGCAGCCATACGCTGTGTGCTTGGGCTGAGCCAGCTCTGCGATCGGGGCAGCCCACGGCACAACATCGGGGCCACGTTGTCCCTTCCAGGGTTGGGGACAGCACCCGAGCCACAAAGCCCCGTTGCCACGGGAGCATCCCTGCAGCAATACGGGCCAGGAGGACGAAGGGGAGCAGCTCCAGGCTTGTGCGTTCATTCCAGGTTGTCCTAAGGAAGGGTTAGGAGTTCGGAAGAGGATGAGGAGGTTTGTGACAGAGCCCTACTGCCATCTGCTGGCATCGGCCACCACCATCCCTCCTAGGAAGAGAAAAAAGGAGCTGCAGGCTCCGGGGCTGGGCTTTATAACAGTCCCGTAACGAGGAGATGGGACCCAGCTGGGGCTCCTCACCTCCAGCTGGGACCTACCCAAGCATCCCCCCATGCGGCCATCGCAGAACCAGAGCGATCAGCTGTTGTTGGAGGACAACTCTGGTTCCAATCCCCTCCCCTCCAATGTGGGAGCAGCTCCACGTCCAGATGCTTTGGCAGACTGGCCCAAAGAAGAGACCCCACGACCTCTTGTGACACCTGCATGGCACGGAGCGCATCGCCACTGCGCCCTGTCCTGGCAGCACCAAACAGAGCCAGGCTTTGCCCCCATGCACCTCCCTGCAGGGATTTATGACCGTAGGTGGGACCCCCCAATCCACCCACCCCACTCTGATCAGCCCCAGCTCCATATATACAGAACTCAGAGGTCTCTTCCAACCTCAATGATTCCACCTTGCATTTGGCAACGCCATTTCCGCCCGACATGAATGTGTAAATTAAAGTCCTGAGCTGTCGCTTGAACACAACAATTTGCTGCTGCAGCAGTCAGCATTTCCAAGTCGTAATTCATTTCTGCTCCTGATGCAACCCCACGTGTCCGGTGACACAACAACAGGCTCCTTGACATTCCTAGATTACTGTCAGTTTACGGGAGGGCCATCAGTTTATGGGAAACAGTAAGAAGCGATCTGAGCAACCTGATCCAGCTGCATGTGTCCCCATTAATTGATGGAGCTGAATCAGGAGGCCTTTATAAGCTTCATCCAACTCAAACGATTCTAAAAATATCCCCATCTCCCCGAATCCTGATGGCGAATTCCTTATGAATGGAGAGAATTAGGTGTCAAAGAAGAAGGGCTGAGATCATCGACGTTTGGCTGACATGTATCAAGTGCATTAATAACCCCCTTGGCATTGGGCAGCGGTGTCTCATGCTCAAAACAACCCTTTAGGAGGGCTATAAAACCCACTCAGCCCAATCCTCTCCACTCGTCGTCCCTTCCAGCTGCTGCTCTTGTTGTTGCAGAGGTAAGGCCGCTTCTCCTTGTGCTCCTGCCCAGAAGGAAGCAGGAAGCATGGAGGTGATGGAGATCCAGAAGTGGGCACAGGGCAGCAGGGATGGGGTGGCTGGGGATGGGCGCACTGCTGACAGGAGCTCCGTGTGCTGCAGAAGGGTGATGGGTGGGAAATATGGGTTTGGGGAGAGGCTGGAGGGGCTCCTTGTGTTGGCCTGGGGGTCTGTTCATACTGGAACGGACAAAGGAAGCCCAGAGGCAGAGCTGAGGGGGTATTTGGGATGGCTTGGGAAGATGCAGAAAGAAAGAGTTCAATGGGGGGATAAAGAGCAATACTGAGGAGAGAGAAGGAGGGTGGTTGGATTAGATGATCTTGCAGGTCGTTTCTAACCTTGTGATTCTATGATTCTACGAAGGGAGGGAGTGAGGGTGGATGAGAGGTGCACCAGGCTCTCCTCTCACCAGAACCATCTCTTGCTCCAGGCAGCTTTGCTGACGCTCAGAAGAGATGGGTGCCAACAAGTCCTGCCACAGCCAGGAGTCCTCCTGCCACAGCTCCCAACCCTGCAACGACTCGGGGTCCTCCTGCCATTGCAACAACCAGAACATCCCTGCCCCCGGGTACCCCTGCGTGATGCCATGCCCCCCAGCACAGACCTACGGTGTGCCCACGCAGCACTATTCCCCACCGGTGCAAACCTCCTGCCCTCAGAACACCAGCACAGCCTGCAAGCTGCCACCACCGTGCCCCAAGTTCTAACAGCAGGATCCGGCCGTGCAGCTCTGCAGCCCCTGGGCACCTCCCTGCTCAATGCACTGACCTCATCCTCACTGCTTACCAGCCATGATGCTTCCCCAGGAGCATTCAAAGGGCAGCGCAATATTGGGGTGCAGCACCTCTGGTTCGTTATTTGGGTTTTTCCGCCCGTGCAACACGTGATGTTTGCTGCCAACAGTTTCCTCCTTGCTTTGCTGCTCCTGTCTTCAGCCAGGAAATAAAAGCTGCATTTCAATCATTCTGGAGTTGTTTAGTTGCTGTAGGGTTTCGAGCTGTGTTTTAATCGCTCAACCAAAGCGTGAGGAGAACCGGGGAGGGGTAAAAGGCAGGAAAATGCCCACAGCACTGCACAGAAGGGCTGCAAGAACTGCACTGGATTAATCTTGGGTGAACACTGAGTGTTTGCACCGAGCAGATGGCTTCAGACACAACTGCTGTGCTCAGCTAGCTCCGACTGCAGCGCTGCTTTTCCAGCACAGAGGGTGAAGCCGTGCACCACATCCACAGAAATCTGCCTCTCTTTCACCAACGTCTCTCCTATTGCACTGCTCAGGGTTTCCCCATTTGCAATGTTGGATGCACCCTCCTGCTTCCTGCAGCTCACCAGTCCCCTCCTTGACTGCCCTTACCTTCTTATAAGCTGGTGCCCATCCGTATCACTAATTAGGCTCTAACGAGAGGCAGTGACCTGGTGAAGCTGGGTCATGTAGCATGAAGCTAAATGAACTCCATGGGAGGTGAAGCTCGTGTTTTAGCAGATGGGAAACTGATCTGGGGAAGAACTTACCTGGAGAAAGAGGACTTGGTGGTCCTTTTTACGATGGAAGGCCATGAGCCAAGCCCACAAACAACTCCCCAACAGAAATGGAGTGGGAATGCATGCTTGTTGCCTCCAGAA